GGTGTCGGTGCTGTGCCGTGAACAAACTGCTTGTGGCAGCTGAGCAACACAGACAAATTAGCACCATTCGAATCAGGAATGCCCAGAGTTCATAGGAGTGATGGAAAATCCCCAGATCCTACAGGTGAGTGCCTTGGCCAGTGGAGTTTTGGCAGCTGGGGCTGTTTGGGTTCCATTTGGGACTCAGTGGGAGCAGCTTGTTCCCCAGCATCCCTCTGGTCCTGGTTGGAACATTTGTGGAGTCAGGCTGGTGGATTCTTGCTCCTGCTGTGAATCTCCTGCACAATGGCAGTCCCAGCAAGAATAAGATCCTTAGGATGTAGGTTTTTTTCCATTACATATAGGAATCAAAGCTCTGTGCAGCAGTGGAGAGCCTGACCAGCTGGCCTGGTCTGTGCTGGAGGTCCTGCAGGTCAGTGGCAACTGAGGAGCCCCTGGCTCAGCATGTCCCTTTCTCTGGCACCAGCTGTGATCCCCAGAGCAGAGAGTTAAAGATTATCTAGCTCAAAATTGCAAATCACTCTCCTGATTGCTTATTGATGAGGTATTTTCAATCAGCAAATGTTACAGAAGAAAAGAGCTGAAATATGCTTTGGAAAACTCATAATTGAAAGTGTGTTTTTAAAACGGCTAATAAAATGTTTATGAGGGGAGCTGTGTAATAAGGCCTTTTAAACCTCTCCAATGCCAGCCACAGGGCCAGCAGCGTTCCTGAGGCAGGTGCAGGGAAGGCGTTGGGGGCTTTATTTCTGTCTTGACAGGAGAGTGAGCAATTTAATTACAGCCGGCTATAAAATGGAAAATTCTTTGCAGTGACAAATGACTGTTGCTATACAAGGAGAGCAGGAGTTGGTGTATGGTTTGTTTACCAAACGATGACAGGGAGATGCACACAAGGACCAAAGAGTGGCTGCAAACCAGCCAGGATAGTGGGCACAAAGTGGGGAAGAGTTACCAGTGGAATTGTGTCAGGCCTTTGCTGTCACTGCAGTCGTCTGGTCTCGCTTCAATAATCCAGGTGCACAAAGGCTGCCAAGGAGCTGACAGGTACAGGAGGAGAATCAGATACTCTAGGGGAGAAAAAGCAAACCCACATGTGGATTTTAATTTGGTTGCTGGTGTTTAAATAAAAGATGAAGGGACTCACCACTGCCCTTGTGTCCTTGTCACAGCTTCCACCTGCCCATGGAGCAGCCCCTGCTGTGCCCGTGGAGTGCTGCCTGCCAGGGAGGGCCAGGCCCTTGCTCTGCTGCAGAGGGCTCACTCAGCTTCAGCTCAGCAGAACTGAGAGTGTTCAGAGAGGAACATATCTGCTTTCACCAGAGCCAGCAGTTGATTTGCAAAATTTACCAAGCATCAAAAGCCATAGATGGATTCACAAGAGTATGAGGAAATCCATTATTTCTTCCTGGGGTAGCTCAGCTTCCCCCTTGGCATGGCCTGGGCCTACTCTTTTAAGTGATGATCATGTGGAATTTATTTTAAGGGTGAAAAATAAAAGAGTTCTGAAGTCATAGCTTCTGTAGGTTCCTCACACTGCAGTGTAACAGTTGCCTGGGCAACCAGGGTTCCCAGTTGCTTAACAGGAAAAAAAGAAATGCTGCAATGATGGAGATGCAGACGTAAGAAGGAGGGTCTGTGCTGGAGCCTGGTGCTTGCAAAGAGTGAGAGGCCACCCCCAGCTTTGGGCTGCCCTCTGCAAACAGAACAGAGCTTGAGGGCCATGCCTGGCCTTCCTGGGACCAGCCCAGCCTGGCCTCTCCCTGAGGAAGTGGGAAAACAGAAATGCAGGTAACTTCAGTGATTTTTCTGCTATGGAGAAACAGGATCAGTATTTCATGAGCCAGGTTAAGTGTGTGTCCTCCAGGATCTTGGCAAGCACCTTAACTGTCCTCCCAGGTGCCAGCACCAGATGTGAACCCTTGTCATGGTCCTTCCCAGTGGCTCTGGAGGTGGATCAGGTGGCAGCTCCTGCCCTGCAGCTCACCCAGGCCTCTGCCTTACTGAAATTTCAAAGGAAAGGTGGTTAGGCATTTGTATGAATTTATTTTATCAAAATTTTATTCTCAATTACTGTGTTGTTTGTAGTTTTAGGATCCCCTCTGCCCTTCTCAGTGCTACCATTACATTCCCATTCTGTTGGAAAATTGCAAAGGCTTGGGTCTGGGGAAAAGTGTCTGTGTGGTTATATGTAATTTTAAAGCATCTGGTTTTGTATTGCATGGGATCCATGGTGATAGTGCTGACAGAAACTCCTGTTTTGGAAAAACATCCTGGGGATCAGTGGGAGTCTCTGAAGGTTTTGATGTGCCAGGGCAGGTCAGTGACCGCAGTCCCAATGACTCAGGGCTGGCTGTCACTGTGGACTTTGTGTTGACTGACGGGAAATCCTGGCACCTGATGTGGGCAGGATGACTTGCAGAAAATAATCTGCCAGGAGGCAGGTGCCAGGAGCTGCGTGTGCCTGCAGGAGAGCCACGGAGGCACAGGGGTCCCTGCTCCCTGTCCCTCCACGGGTGCTCCTTTCTGCAGTGGGGCCAGGGCTGTTCTTGCTCCAAGGCTCAGCTCCCAGTGCAGGGCACACTCCCAGTCCCTGCAGAGCCTGGGAGGAGACTGCACCCAGGTGTACCTGCAGAGAGTGGGCAGTGCTGGGGGAGGAGCTCAGAGGAGAGGGAAGAGGGCTCCAGTTAATCCCACCCAGTTCATTATTAGGCCAGAGCAGCTCAGCCTGGAGATGCATCTTTACCAAGTGAGCTCTGGTGAATTGCATCCCAGAATAGGTTTTGAAAGATTACGTGTGCCTCCAGCCCATCTGCTGCTCCAGCCTCCCCAGCAGCTCAGCTCCCCTTGGAGAGCACCCAGCCGTGCTGCAGCCCTGGGAGGAGATGCAGACCCAGCAAGGGGCTGCCGGGAGCTGGCGCCCAGTCAGGAGCTGGGACTGCTGGCACTGAGGGAGGCAGGGCCCACAGGGCTGGGCTTGGAGCAGTGCCATGTCCCAAGGCCTGTGGAGTGCCTGCAGAGTGACACAGTGAACTCCTGGCGCTCTTGGCTGGGAGACTCGTCCTGTGCTTGCTAAGGGTTTGCCTGCCTTCCTGGTAATTAAAAGTTTGTAACTAATTACCAGCTGCCCTGCTCATACTTTGCAGTAGCGCTTTCCCCCGGTGCTGGGAGTCTCCTCTGGCAGCAGGGAGTGAAGCCAGATCTGTTTGAATATGCGTGTGCTGTGCCCGCTGCGGGGATTTCTGCCTGCTCCTCTCCTGTCCTCTCGTGCCCTGTGTGGAGAGCAGCTTTGGGGAGATGCTGCAGAGAGGGACTGGGCTCATGTTTGCACAGCAGGTTTAGTCTCAGCCTTTCTTCTACGTGCCTCTTTCCTGATGACATAGTGAGGGGAAGACATTCAGACAAGTTGCATGCAAGTCTTGCGTGTTTAAACCTGATCCAGGAGTATGCACCTTCCTCATCACCTTCCCTCCATCACTCCCTGTCTCACCCACACCCCTTTGCAAGGCAATCAGAGCACACACAGCACATGACTTTTCTGGGTCAGGCAAAATGCTTTGGCTGCACTCGACAGGAAACAAACTTTAAAACTAGCCTGTGGATTTGGGCCTCAGCCACATGGGAATCTCTGGGCTACAGGTCAGGGCTGGTGCAGAGCCAGGATTCCAGGAGTCCCCATCCTTCCTTTCTGGCTGTCCCCATGGCTACTTCCCTGCCGTGGGCTGCTGGGCTTGCCCAGGACATGGTGTTGGTCTCTCTGCTGCCTGTTTGGCTTGAAAAGCAACAGGAGAGAATGAACTGCCCCCTTTGCCTGAAAACCCTCTGTTTTGAGGAGCTTTTAGCTGATCTGGAGGGAGAGGAGCTGTCTCCATTGATGCACCTGCAGTGGTTGTGCCCTGCTAACATACATTGTTTGGCTCTTTTAAAAATACTTCCTTTATTGCTGTTACTGGGACAAAGGTAGCGGCAGGAGCTGCCCTAATCTGCGTTGCCTTAGGCTGCATTAAAAGCTGGCTTTTAATGGCTTTAAGGTCCTTCCCAGCAAACCTGAGAGCTACAACACCAGCAGATCGATTGAAAGGCATGAGGTCAGGCTCTGATTGTACTCATCCTGGAGAAACCGAGAGAGAAATAAAGAGATGTGTTAAGACCATGAGCCTGGTCCTCTGCCAGGTGTGGGGTTTGCTTTTGAGCTCAGTGCTTGCTAGCAGTGAGGGAACAGGAGCATCCATGTGGGCTCTGTGTGGCTGGTATTTTCAGAAGTGTGTGTGGGATTTAAATTCCCAGTGTTGAAACTTAACTTGAGAAAATGGAGAGTCTGTATGTGGTTTTACAGATTTCACCTAATTTTGTCTCTTATGCATATAGTCAGTGTGGCCCTGGGCTGAGGGACCAGGTCCCTGACTGTGCAGTGCTATACTGATTAAAAAACTCATAAAACAGGCCTTGGAATAGTAGGTCCCCCTTGGGAAGTGTGGTTTGTATTTCTCAGCAGTAATGCTGGGCAGTGTGGGGCATTTCTCTGTATTGTGCTGACTGATGCAGCAGCTCCCCTGACCTTCCCAATGGATGTGGTGATTGCCAGCACCAAGGGGCATTAGCAGGAGAGGACAACAAACACCCTTCCTTCCTGTTTGACCTCAGGATTTCCCCATGATGCAGGGGCTTGTACCTTCCACCATCTCCTCTAGGTCAGGAGCTCTTGCTCAGAAGCTCATCAGTACTTAGGCTTTTTCTTTCCTTCTAAGCATTTCCATTTTGAGGGCTTACCAGTTTTCCCTCAGAAAGCAGATGTTCAACCAGAGCAATACTTTATGTGCCAGCTCTTGTCCTTCCCTTTCTGCCCGCATTTGGTAGGTGTAAATGTACCTGAGCATGTTTTACACCAGCATAACTGGCAGTATGAAATAATGAGCTGTGGACATGGGAGTGACCAGATTAGTGTAGGTTATTCTTGTCTTTGTTCTCATGATATTTCTTTTTCTTTCCTTCGACTTCAGACTTTAAAGAGGAAGGAAAAAGAATACGAACACGAGATGGAGCGGCTGGCGAGGGAGAAGATCGCCACGCAGCAGCGGCTGGCAGAACTGAAGAACGAGCTGAGCCAGTGGATGGATGTTTTGGAGATTGACAGAATTATTCGACAGACAGTTCAGCCAGAGGATGACCAGGCATCTACCTCGACAGCATCAGGTACCCATAACTGTTCTCTTTTTTTCGTAATTATCTTGGAATGTCGTTGACACAGTTACATGGAGTGGTAGGGGTCTTAATTCAGCAGCATCAGGGTTTCTTTGCATTCAGAAAAAAGTAAAAGGTTTTGGAGTTTTTGTAATGATTGATGTTGCTAACAACACACGGCTGCTCATGTGAAGTAAACTGAAACTTGTGCATCAGTGTCAGGTAGATACAACGTGCAGGTTTGCACATCCAACCTGCTTGTGGAGATAAATCCCTGCTTTCCAAACTTAGCTCTTTTCTTGCACAGTTCTGCAGCCCTGCTCATTAGAAGTGGGCATCCTGGTGTATTTGTGTGGATGTGCGAGGGTGTTCAGCACATACAGAAGAAGGATTTGGTACAGGGAGGATCACCAGAGCATTTGGACAACTTGATGAGCCTTCACATTGCGTGAGGAGGATTCACAGTGAAGATGAAATGACACTAATGGATATCTGACATGCGGTTCCAGTGAGAGTTTCTGTGAGATAGGAGAATGCACGCTTCTCTCCACGCCAGGGATCTGCAGCAGGAAGAGTAGGCAGTCTGTGGATGTAGAGCTTTCCAGAGACACGGAGGCTGTAGCAGTGCAAAAGCATTCCCAGCAGTTCCTTCAAGTCAACATTTGCTCTTGGCATGCCAGGCAGATGATATGGCAGGTTCTGGGAAGGGAAGACCTGAGTTTGTTCAGGCTCATCACCTCTGATGGTAGGAGCAGCTCCCGGTGTAGTCTGATGGAAGTTGAGAGTCCCAGTGCTTTGTCCTTACAAGTGCCAGCTGTTCCCTCTGCAGTGGCCTCTGCTGAAGTGACCACATCAAGCTGCTGCTTCCCAGAGCTTGGGAAGGGGAAGTGGCTTCCTGGTGCTCCTGCTGCTTCTGTGTCTCCTGAGATTTTTATTCTTTGCTGCATGGCTGGCACTAGAACAGGCAGTGCAGGGTGCCGGGCTTGTCTTCCTGATCCCAGGGCTAGTATGTTCCTGTTTTATGCTTCCTTAGTTCCTGGACTAGACAAGAGTCCATTTTCCAGAGCCAGATGAGAGACTTGCTGCCATGTTTCTTCATGGCAATTTCCTTCCTGCTCTGGGAGCAGAAGGAGTGGTGCCAATCAGTGGAACAACTGGCCAGGAAAGGAAACCCTGTTCCTCTTCCCAGAAGGAGCCCACTTCAGCCCAGACAGCTCAGCCAGGTGCTTTCTGTCAGCCTCTGCTCATGGTGCTCCCCTTGCTTGCCCAGTGAGACCTCTCAGCCTTTTGGGAGCACCCTGCTCTAGCTGGGTTTTTGAGCTGTCACACTTGCCTGGTCCTTGGCCCACAGGCAGTGGGCTGTGGGCTGTGCCATGCCATATCATACCGTGCCATTGTGCCACCAGCCTGTAGCTCAGTGATGCCTCCTGTACGTCTCTTCTGCTGATGCTGCCTTCTAGGGAAGCTCGTTGGTCCGGTTCGTGCTCTGCTTGCGTTGTTATGGGAGTTTCTTCCTTTCGTGTTTTCCAGAGGGTGAAGACAACATGGATGAAGATATGGAAGATGACAGGCCAGTGAACTCATTACCAAAACTCACCCAGCGCCAGCACCCAGAGCTGCTGAAAGCCGTCCCCCCCAGTGCTGCTCCCCCCCTGCCCACGGTCCTGCCCCCACACGTGTCCATCCAGCAGAAGCCCCACGCCCAGCCCTCCCTGCAGACGCAGGCACTGGTCCCGCCGCAGGCGATCGTCCCCGCACAGACTCACATCGTGGCGGCCTCGACCGTGCAATCGACTGTTATCGCCCACACGGCCACCACCCACGCCTCGGTCATCCAGACTGTCAACCACGTCATTCAGGGGCCACAGACCAAGCACATTGCTCACATTGCACCTTCCACGTCCAGCCCCGTGCAACTCACCACTGCTGCTCAGCCCATCGGCCACATCACTGTGCACCCGGCCACCATCAACCACATGGCCCACCTGGGCCCACAGCTGCCCATCTACCCCCAGCCCGTGGCCGTCAGCCAGCCCGTGGTGAGCCACATCGCCCACACCATCTCGCACCAGCAAGTGAACGGCACGGCGGGCCTGGGCCAGCCGGCCGTGATGGCCAAGCCGGCCGTGGGAACCCAGGTTGTCCATCACCCGCAGCTGGTGGGCCAGACGGTCCTAAACCCCGTGACTATGGTGACCATGCCGTCGTTCCCGGTGAGCACGCTGAAGCTGGCCTAGAGGGGACGCTGCACGGCGAGGTCTTGTTGGGAACCTTTCCTAAGGAAACTCCGTACATTCCAACCACGCCCGGCCCGGCGGGAGGAGGCGCGGAACGCCCAGGGCAGGGCGGCGGGGCCGGGCTGTGCGGGTGCCCGGGCTGTGCAGGTGCCCAGGCTGTGCGGGTGCCCGGGCTGTGCAGGTGCCCGGGCTGCCCCCGTACCCGGCCTGTCTCAGTGCCCAGCCTGCCCCCGTGCCCAGCCTGCCCCAGCACCCAGCCTCCGCCGGGACGGGGCTGCGCCGCGCTCGGGGCCGCGCCGCTGAGAGACTTCAAAGACAGTTGTTCATGGTGATTTTTTTTCCTTTTATGTGTAATGAGTGAACTATGGATATGATGTTCTTAAGACTTTAATTTCGCCCTCTTATGTGTTGCTTCTTTGTAGAATAAAAATTGCTGATCTCTTTATTGAGACATTGCGTAGAATGGGAAAAAAAAATCATAGAAGTCTATATTTATATATATGTGTGTATGTGTGTGTATATATATATGTATATACATATATATATAAATATAACATTTGAAGGCCTTTTGTAAGGTTGATTATTTTGCAGGATTATGAGACAAAATTCATTTTTGGAGGAAGAAGCCAGAGTGTCCTCTCTAAACAAGAAACTATAAGATAGATGGTTTGGTGGACCAGAGTACAGTGACAAAAAACCCCCAACAACAAACCACGAGTCAAACCATGTTAAAGGTATTTCCCATCAATATATTACATTTCAAAAACCATCTAAAATCACTGTGACTTGTTATGGCATTTTAAGGAAATTCTCTGTCCTGTCTAATAAAAGGAAAAAGAATACACAACCAGACTTGATTTGTTGCCATTTTATAAATGACTTGATTTTATAGCTATGTCAAAAAAATACTGGTTTTTATTACTTTAATGATTGACAGTGCTTTGTTTGGATGTTTTTGGGGGAATTTGTATTTTGTCTGGCTTGGTTTGCTGATGCAATAATTGGTTTTGCAGATCTCTGTGCATGGCATGGCCCTGGTCAGGGTCCCTCCTGCCGGTCCAAGCTCCCCCAGGTTTCTTGGGTTTGTTGTTTGGCAGAGGCACACGCTTTGTGCTGGCAGCTTGCAGGGCGTTGCTGTGGCCTGGCGAGTGGAACCTGGGACAAGAAGACATAGAGAAATGAGGTAGATTTGCTGCATGGGTTAATGTTTGTTAGTTTGTTCTGTCCTTACCACGCTTTGGTGTGGGAGCTGGTGGGTTTGAAAGGGATAAAAGGGGATGTGGTTCCCTTCCAGAGCGCAGGCAGTTCAAGCAGCTTTGTTCCCTTTGACAGGGAAGCAGTCTCTCCTTATGCAGGATAAGGCTTTGCTGCAGGAGATCAGTGTGAGCTCGTGTCTGACCGTGAGACGTGCACCAAAGAACCCTCATCCCTCAGGACCCTCCTGTTCCCCCTTGCCAGGGTTGGGGCAGACCTGTCTGAGGTCTGTGGCAGATCCCAGAGAGCCAGGAGAGGAGCAATGCTGTTGGGCTCTGCTGGTCTCTGCCAGCCTGCCCGGGAGGCTGCTTAGGGTGTGTTGTGCTGCTCTCTGGATGTTCTGGTCCTTGCACAGTGTGTGTAGCTATTGCTGTGAATGATCTCCATTCTGTCTTCCTCTCTTTTTAAAACAAATATTCCACAGTCCTTACTGCAGGCAAAATGCTGCTGTAGCCAGCAGCCCTTCCCCTAGGGCAGGATGGGAGGATGGTCCCACACCTGCCCAGGAGCTTTGGGAGAGGAGGAGGGGGTGGCTGAGCCCCTCACGGCGCTGTGTCCTGTGTGGGGCTGGGGTCTCCTGCAGGAAAACAGCATCCATACTCTGCCCTAAAGACCTGTTGACTCTGGCAGGACTTCAGCCTGTTGGGGACTGGTGTGAGCAGTGTCAGGGATGTCATTGAGAACATCTGCCTGTTCTATACTGTCCCCAAATAAAACTGGTCTGGAGGCAGGAGAAGTGACTGCAGAGGTCAGGGGTGATTGTGCCTTCTGAGCAGGTGTCACTGGGAATTCTGTGAAGTCTGTTCATAAAGCCCCAGTTACCACTTGTTTTATTTTTCTTTCATGCATTCTTAAGTTCAGGAAGATCTTGGCTGTGCTTGCCAGCACAGCTCCTGCAGAATGGACAAACCTCGAAGGATTTCTTTTCATAGAACCCCATTTAAGCAGATCATTTGTTCTCATTCCAGTGCATCATTAACACTGGGGGGTTCTCAGAATTGCCAGGACTTTGTTGTCCTCTGTCCCTGCAGGTGCTTTCCCAAGGAGGCCATTGTGTGCCAGTATTTGAGAGATAGGGTTGAGTATGGCTCAGTTTCTCCTCATCAGGAACTCCTCAACGCTGAGTATGTGCAACAGGGTCACTCCCTTCTCAGGAGGAAGTGGGGCTTTGCCCTCTGCAGCAGTGTCAGGAGGGGGAGGACATGTGCTTCTGCCTTTTTTTACTGTTCTGACTCACAAAAGAGCAAATTCTCCCCATTGAAGGAGAAGGAGCCAGGTTGAGAATGTGCTCAGTGCAGGAGTGTTGGCTGAGCCCCAGGGAGATGAGCTTGCTGCTGGGTTACTGAATGGCCTGTGCTGTGTGGACAGGGGTGCTGCTGCCCTCATCCTCTACTCCCTTATGGTTTGGAGCAAAGAGTGCCCCTGCCTTGCCTAGTCCTGTGTCTTGGCCAGTTTTTCTTTCCCCTTGGAATTGTGCCATGCAGTCTGTCTGTCTGATCCCCTTCATGGGTGTTGGCCTCCCCATTAGGAGCATCCCCCTTGGCCTGCCCAGGAGCTGCTCCAGATGTTGTGTGTACCCCTGTTCCCATCTGCGTTTTTCAGGGCTACCAGAAACATTCTGTGGGATTTTTCTTTTTGTTTTTTAAGTCAGCGAACTTCTCTCTATTCTGTGGGAAGAAGAGCAGCCACAGCCCTTCCCTTTCCACCTCTGTTATTCCTGCTCAGAAACTTTGGATTTACACTGATGCTCTTAGAAATCCCGTTCAGTACTGTATGACAAGGGGCACTTTAGGAATGTCTCTCCTCCTTTGATATATGTTTTCCCTATGGAGAAAGCTATATATAAATATATATGTACACTTGGGGATTCCTAAGATCTAATTTGTCCCCCAAAAAACCAATAAATATATGAAGTTTACAAGAAATCTCTTCTGTTGTTGAATAATATTAGTTATTGGTAACCATGCCACAGAAACAATAGAAAATGGGGTTTCTGCATAGTAGTTTGAGGATTTTCTGTCCTGTCACACCTGGCTTGGAGCCTGTTGGTCAGTGGAGGTGGTTCTGCCGAGGGCACAGCAGCCCACACGCTCCATGTCCTGCTGCCAACAGCCAAAGGGTGCTCAGGAGCTGGAGCTGTGCTTGGAGCTCGGGCAGCACGGCCGGGGGTGTTGGCAGCTGGGCAGATGTGTGGGCACTGTGTGGGCACAGAACCCCGCCATGGCCTCGGGGGAGCCTCGTGCTGGGCTGTGCCTGCCAGAGCCACTGCCAGCTCACCCGCCAGGGGGGCAGGCAGAGGGCAAAGACCCAAACTGCTGCTTTAAAATGATCCTCAAAAAAGCTCTTAACGCTGACACTTTAGATACAGGAATGTATTCCTGACCTCACCAGTAGAAATTTGCCAGATCTGTGTAGTTTATCTTAGGCAGGGAAGTGATCTGATTTCCCGTGTTCTCTGCAGTTGTTTGTGTGGGATCCAGAGGCAGTGGGTCGTGTGTCCCTGGGGGCAGCTGGGGACCCACATTTCACATGGGGAAGTAAGGCTGGAGCCAAGCTGCTGCCGTCGGGGGTTTTCTGCATGTGTGTGTGTGTGTCCATCTGTCTGTCCGTGCTGGGGCCGAGTGTTGGATGTCAAGGCCAGACAGGCTCCAGTGTCACCACTGGGCCCCTGGCCACTGGCATGGCTGAGTTTTGGTTTCTTGAGCAGAGCTGGACAGAGGGGACGGCCCTTGCAGAGGCCTCTGCTCTCGAGGTGCCCACGGCATGTCCGGGGCGTTCATCATCCCACTGAGCCGGCTGCTGCCGCTGCTGTTGGGCTCCTTGTCTTTTTTTTTCTTTGTTTTATTTCAAAGTGGCCTTCTGTAACAAAAGAAACAAAAAAAATGCCTTTGGGTGGTTTAGGTGGAGGTGAGGTGTCGCTGCTGTGTCGGTGTCGGTGTGGTTGTCCGTGCGCACGCCTGGTAGATTCCTGTAGACATGCAATGCAAGGCTTATTGTGTCTGGTTTTTGTATGTAGCCTGTGTCTCTTTGGACTGGTTTGCATCCTGAGGGCGTTTTTTGCATTTAAAGAAAAAAAGTGAGAACTGTTCCAGGTTGGGTGGGTACAAGGGGCTCTGGGGACCTCCCGTGTGCCAGGGGTCGGGGGGAAGGTGTCTTCTGCCCCTTGTGATGATGTGGTCAGGGCTTGTTTGGCCCCTTTGCTTTCTGTGATGGGTATCCAGTGTCCCCACTGTGTCTGTGGGGTGAGCAGCCTTGGCCAGATGAACCAGGTGACCTCGGCTTACCTGAGCAGGACTTAGGCTCAGCCTGTCTGGGTGTTCAGGCACTTGCTTAATTAGCTTAGTTAGATACGTGGCTGCTGCAGAGGGCTCCTGGAGCTGGAGTGGAGGTGGGCAGCTCTGAGCACTCACAGGTGAGGCTCCTCTGAGACTTGGCATGTTTTTTTCTGAACAGTTGTTCATTCCAGTCTTATTTTGATTCTAAAAGCTATGGGGGTGAGGAGATGAAAACCCTCATACTTATGGCCTGTTTTCCATCCCTTGTTATCGTTTGGGACAGATTAAAATGGATTATAACACTGTCTTTAGGTTATTTCCTCCCTGAGTGAAACATCAGTTGTTAGAAGCAGATGTTTAGTTTTAAGGAAAATAGGCTGTGGGTAGAATCAGTCATGGCTTCTTTCTGTCCCTGTTATACAGAACTCGATAATCCAAACTTGAACTATTCAAATATCAGCCCGAGCCCAGCACTGGATGGTGCAGGCTTGGCAGAGGTTGTGTTTGGCTGTTCCCAGGCTGGCTCACTCCTTGCCTGAGGCTGCTGATGAGTGAAGGAAGACCCCATGGCCTCTGTCCCTGCACTGTTTGGGCAGGGACGGGGCTGTTCTCTGCTGGGATTTGGTGGGAATGGGCTGTGGGATGTCATGGTGCTCCTCATCAGGACGGCATGGCTGGTTCTGCTCTAGCTCTGGATGAGGCCCATTGATTCACCCATTCCTTGTGCTTTGAATAGGAACTTGAGTGTGAGGGAGCAGAAGTCACCAGCAGGGAAGTGCCCCAGACTCCCAGCCCGTCTCTGAGGCTGTCCCTGGCAGGCAGGCAGGCAGGGCCTCCCCAGGCTGTGCTGCTGTGGAGCTGCTGTGCCAGAGCCCTGTGTGATGCCTTATGGATGCCTTAACAGCCTGAGCCAGGAGGGTGCTGGGGCTTGGCAGAGCCAGGGGCAGGGACTGACTGCGACCACCCAACCATTTATTGGCTTTGCTCAGCCCCAGCCTGGCCATACTGGGTGAGGAGCTGTGGTGGGAGCGGGCACCCCCTACTCTGTCACTGCATGTGACCCCCCCTCCTGCCTAAAGCATTTATTTATTTCTTTAGTCTCGCTGTGCTCCCCGCGTTAGGAATGTGTCACTGGAGCTGCTGACTGAGCCCAGGCGCTGCCATCGCTGGCCCGGAGCCCCCGTCCCTCCCTGCACCTCACAGGAGCCCCCGTGTCGCGCTCACCTGGGCAGGTGCAGTCTGTGTTTACAGTGAGGACGTGTCACTGTGTTACCAATTTACTGAAATACTGAATATTGACAAACTAGACTGTAAAGATTTT